TTTTAAATATTTTTTTTTTTTTTTTTTTTTTTTTTTTTTTTTTTGTACAAATAAACATTCTAATTATTTAAAAATTACTATTGCCATTACCACTAACAGGGTACGTCGCATGAATGGCGCCTGTCTCTTATACACATCTAGATGTGTATAAGAGACAGGTTTTGGATTTTCCAATGTGCAAAACTAAAATTATGAAATGGGAAAACCACTTTCTACGAAATGTTTTTTCGTGATAAGTTGAGCAAAAATCATTATTCATTAGTGTCCAGAGGTATTAAGCGCATGCGCAATCGCGCTTTGCCTAACTTATTTCGCTGCAGCTTTCTCGATTTTCACCTCGCGGGGAGTGAGGAGTACGAGGAGTGAAGGTTGGATTATCGGTGGGGTGTTGATGCTTGCTGTAAGACGTCCGTGTTATGCTGTAATAAATTATAAGCAAGTTTTCATTAAAATAACAAATAAATGGGGCCTAGCATAGGGCATATATTATATACTTCTAGCCTGGTGCGAAAATTTTAGGAAATAGTAGCTCTAGATGGCCAGAAATGACACTTTTAGTAAAATTCATCATCATCACATCACCATTATATAAAGCTCCAACAAATTTCTCGTGATTTTTTATAACGGATTTTCGGCAACCATAGAGGTCTTATAAATATGTGTGATGTACCACAGAAAAAAAAGCTTAAAAACACTGTCTTTGATGTATGTACCTTACATACTTCAAAGCCATGATTTTGCAACCACCCCAGCCCCAACATTATTGGGGCTCAGGTGGGAAAATTTGAGGAAATAGTACCTCAGAAGGTCGGAAATGACACTTTTATGTAGTAACATTTATCATCATCACATCACCATATTATAATCAAAACGAAGAGCCAACAAATTTCTCACGATCTTTTATCAGGGATTTTTGGCAACCATAGAGATCTACTTAATATTCAGGCCCAACTGTACTAACTTTAACTAAAATAATAATTATGATTGACAAATCAAAGTTTTCCTTTTCACCTTTAGCAAAATTTTTAATATTATTATTATTATTATCTATTATCATAATCGTCATCATCATCATTATTATTATTACCTCTACTACTAGTACTGAGTATTATTAAACAAAACTTTTAAATGCCTGCGAATTAAAAGGATAGAAACCAAACTGAACCATACAATATCATGTTTTTGTATTTAAAAGACATAGCCTGGGGGATATATGGATTTAAGGCAAATTTAAGTTGATTTTTTTTTGTTAAGCATGTTTTCTAAATCCACCCCTTGAGAAGTATAGTCGTTATAAATCCGAAAATTTAAATTTTTGCATTATTGTGTACCGTAAAAAATTGATTAACAAATATTTCACTGGGTTACTTTCGGGTTAGCGGGTGATTTTCATTGATAGAAGTTTATGGTGGGTTTCTATTGGAGTAGGCCTACGGGTCACAAACCACAGTAGATGAGTCAATTAGTAATTTTGCAGTATTTAAATCAACACCAAGCTATGTATAACATATGCTGATGCATATTTACATATTTTATAGAAGTATTTATTTTTAGTAATCCCAGGAAAGAATGTGTAGCCCTATTTGCTGCAAGAACAAGCTTTGAAATTCTAACACTGTTTACAAAGGGGGAGAGCCGCGGCTCCCACGCCCCCACTCTTCCTCCCTGTACTGCCATTTACCACTCACTACCGCAATAGTGCATGTCGATTAAGGATGTGTTCTAAAGAACCTATTAGAAGGGCGTGAGTTCGGAACGCATGTTGCAACTTTGAATCGCGTATTTATTTATTTTTTTCATTTTGTCAAACAGTTCTCATCCAAGTTCATTAAAAAAGGAAATTAACACCGAGGCGCGATTCGAACTCGAGACTTTCGGTTAGGATGTGTTCTAAATAGCTTAAGGCAGGCTCAGGTCGACACGGAACTGAAAGGAACTCAACTCAACTCAACTCGTCGACATGAGCGTTCCGCGCAACTGAAAGGAACTGAACGCAACTGAAAGGAACTGAACTCATGTCGACTTTGAGCAACTAAAAGGAACTGTTGCGTTCAGTTCCTTTCAGTTGCGCGGAGCGCTCATGTCGACGAGTTGAGTTGAGTTGAGTTCCGTGTCGACCTGAGCCTGCCTTAAGGTCGTGAATTCGAAACGTGTCTTGGTATTCAATTTTCATGTGTCCAATTTTAAGATTTTTTATTTTTCAATTTTAATTATTTTAACTTTGTACAAATGATCATTCTAAATTTTTTTTTTTTTTTTTTTTTTTTTTTTTTTGTACAAATAAACATTCTAATTATTTAAAAATTACTGTTCCCATTACCACTAGCAGGGTACGTCGCATGAATGGCGCGGTCGGTTAAGGATGTGTTCTAACGAACTTAAGTTTGTGAGCTGGAAACGCGCCTTGGGTTTTTTTTTTCAATTTATCTATTTATTTTAATTTTGTACAAATGATCTTTCTAAATGATGTTTTTTTTTGTACAGATAAACATTCTAATCATTTAAAAATTTCTATCTTATTAGGTCTTCCAAAAATCCCGATATAATGACTTGCGCCAAGAATGGGGAACACGCGGACCTGGTGAGCGGTCGCTCTTCCTTGTTTTGGTTGCCGTCGGAAGACCGCAACGAAATACAATACAGCAGGTTCAGCGAAGCGAGATTGCGCATGCGCGAGTAAGTACTTGGGACACTCTAATGAAAAATTCATAACGTCTTCCTTAACTTACCTACGATAAAAAAACAATTGCGAAAAAAAATCGCTTATTGGCCCAAATTGCGATCGGAATCGAGAGAGCATGAACACAAATGTCACGGGATTGGAAGATATCAATAGAAAATATTTTGTTATTAGGCCTAGCTAGAAGTCAAGTGAGGAGCCCAGTGGCCATTTTTAGGCAGGACCGTAGGATCGTCGAGGAAGGAAGGCCAACAACACACCAAGCGTGGTGTGTGGCGCGCGCACGGGTCACGGTGACCACACTCGCACACACAGAGAGGTATTTATAAACTGTTAGGCCTAGTAATAGGGCATTGAACGGTTTTTCCCTGTTGTATGACATGACCAGGGCTTGCTTGGGCTTCCTAGGCATACGGAGCGCCGTTTGGGACATTGCTAGGCCTATGTATCTTAAAAAAGGCATTCTATTTATTTATTTCATTTATTTATTTACACTCTCATTCTACAGCGGGAAACCCGCCACTTACAGAATGGATTAAAATATTAAACATTAAAATATGACAATATGATTAATATAATAAAAATAATAATAATAATAACAGTAATAATAATTCATCTTATACAATTTTACAAATTTTCTTACAAAAACATCCATAACTGTCAAAGAAAAGGTCACTGGAATACTAATAATAGCCTTGATGGTTAGGCCAGGGGGACAAGGCCAGCCTATTTGCTGGATGGTATGCGATGCGAATCCAAAATTGTTGTATTTTTTGTGTATTTTCTAATTTTTAGGCATAAAACACATATTTGGTTGTAAAAAAAAAGTTTTCCTACCGACCTAGGTAGGCTTTTGTCAAAAGGTGGCCAACACAATTTTTTTTTTTTTTTTGGCAAAATATTTCAGTATCAGTTAATTAAATTATTAGGCTAGTTTTACCATAATAACTAAACACTACAGTAGCTGGTTTATGAAGTTTGATTGGTTTCAAACTTGGCAGAATGCAAGATGGCAAAAAGAAGTCGGAGCCTATTGTTTTTGGTACGTGTGTGAATATGTTAATTGCTCATTTGCATAATTAGTATTTCACTAATCAGCTACTAGGCCTATTAGTATTAGGCTATTTTTACCATGATAACTAAAGTTAGGCAAGTCCGATTGGTTTAAATCTTGGCAGAATGTAAGATGGTAAATAAGAAGATAGAGCCTTGTTTTTGGTAAGTGTGAATATGCTATAGAATTGCTGCTATGCATAATTAATATTTCATTAATGAGGTAAAGCTAGTTACCACAATAACTTAAGTTTGGTAAAGGACCGTAAGGCCGACTGGTTTCAAACTTGGCAGAATGCAAGATGGTAATAAGAAGACGGAGCCTTGTTTTTGGTATGTGTGTGAATATGCTAATTGCTCATTTGCATAATTAATATTTCACTAATCAGGTAATTTAGGCTATTTACCATGATAAAAAGTTTGCAGTAAGTCTGGGTTCGATTGGTTTCAAACTTGACAGAATGTAAGATGGTAATAAGATTAAGATGGAGCCTTGTTTTTGGTACGTATGTTTATAGGCTGATTGCTCATTTCCATAATTGATATTTCAGATGAGGTAATTAGTCTAGTTACCACAATAACTAAAGTTTGGTAAGTCCGATTGGTTTCAAACTTGGCAGAATGTAACATAATAATAAAAAAGACGGAGCATATTGTTTTTTGTACTTGTGTGAATATGCATTGTATAATTAATATTTCACTAATGAGGTAATTTAGGCTGTTTGTCATGGTGAATAGTGCGTTACCAATGCAAATAAGCTTTGAGGCTGCATTCTTGCATCATGTTATTTAAAAATTCATAACTTCATAACAGAGTGCCGTATGCTAATGTTCTCATACTTACCCCAGTATTCTTAAAACAAACTTTAGTCGTTCATGCTAAAACTAAAAAATTACATCATTTCATTTCAGTAACAAATTAGGCCTATCCTTAACAATAAATAAGCATAAAAGCATATAGCAATCTATATATATTGATCTATAGGAAAATACAGTTACAGATTTATTTATTAAAACAGCTAACTTAAATATGATAACAAAATTTACAAATAGGATAAATTTGGAAGTAGCTGTATACACAAACTGAATAAGCTAAGAAGTTGCAGCGTTTTTTTATAGGAAATATTTCTTGTTAGATATATTTATGAAATGAATGGGACCCCAATAGCCCTGGGCCCCAGTGCTTTGCACTGTCTGCACTGCCCATAGCTACGCCACAGAATCGGGCTCAAGTGAGGACATTCATTCAGGAATGTGAGCTGTTCGAAGATGGATGGTTCACAGACTGGGTAACAATGCAATGAGCACAAATGCCTTTCTGGCATGATTGTCTATAAAAAAAAAAAACCTAGCCATTTTTCTATTGTGTCGTACATCGAATAAAAGTTATTATAAGTCAATCGTGATGTCATCACTGCAACTCGCGCACCTCGATGGAAATTAAAACGTGATTGAATACTGCTAGATTGATGCCTTCGAATATTTTATTACTCCTTACTGTCAGAAATGAACACAGTCGCATTTGAACTTTGTTTTGTTTCTTTATTTCAAAACAACTGGTCAACAGCCATGATCAAAGAAAAAACAACGTTTAACAACATTATTTATAGCGCCCACAGCTTTTCAACTGTTAATTAAAATAATAATTTTTCTTCTATTCAACTGCTCTTTGAAACCCAATATTGAATATTAATGCAATTCAAAATTGAGATTATTTTCAAGATCTATTGATTCATATGCCTACATTAACTTATTGGTTAAAAGTATGATCATCAGTTCGGCCAAGGTGAAAACAAAATCCATCAATAAAGGTATTTCACTGTAGGACATATACATATGATAACTGTCATATGCATGTGTTCTTTACATTTATATTAAATTTAGTAAGTACTTTAAGCAGCACTGAAATTGATAATTTTGAATGACATTACAGTGTTAGAACACTATTCTATTTTATAATATTGGTGGGGATTATTCCAAGCTGAAGACCTGTGACTCCACTTCCATCTTCCCATCCCTAAAATTAAAAAAAAGTCATGTTGTAGAAAGAAGTAAATCATGCATGTTTTTAACAGAACTATAGGCTTTTAGTATTTAATATACTTTCAAATGCCTCTTCTTTTTCCATCTTTATTTCAGAGTGGTGTATAGTCTTGTAGAATAGTCCTTTAAGAACATTATACAGAAAAAATATCACACAACACTAGCAATGGAGTTATGAATTTTTAATAACAATAATGATTTTAAGAATTTTGCCTCAAAGCTGCTTATTTATGTTGGTTACGCACTACTGATTTGGGTTGTTTGTCATCACTTCAACATGCCAATTTGTGGGAAGGTGCTAGTAAATATTCGTGGAAAATACTGTCTGTATTTTAGGCCTGGAGCAGTGTGCATACAGAATGCTTTGCCCACCCCATTTGAAGACTCTTAAATATAACACAGATTGGGGTAATTGCATTCTTTCCTGAAAACTGAAACTGCACCCACCCACCCTTCTATTCACCAAATTCCCATTCCCTTTTCTTGTCCTAATTATTGTAACACCTGTAATTCATGTAGGGGAGGATGGGGACTTCCTTTGGGGACGGGAGATTGCAGTCAGTTATATCTGTATGCTGGGGATTCCTTGGATCCGCATCACTTTCTGATAATGATGTTTTGTTTTGAAGTAAGTGCTATCTCCTATTGTTCTTCTGGTGAGTTTGCTTTACTAGAAGAAAATTTACAGATTTGCCATCAAACAAAGTTGTGATAAGATCGGATTGGAAGGTATCTGAAGGTGGTCGCAACATTCATTTTCTGAAACGTTACAGCATATATCCAGACAACAACAATAATACAAACATTAATAATAATGATAGTGATGTTATTAATGATGATATTGATAATGGTGATGATAACTACCTGTATTATAGTTATTATTATAATAATCATTATAATGATAACAATAAAGGTAATAATAATTTAGTCGTATAATAGACACCAAGCTAAATGCCTTTTTTACCCCAGTGAGATAGAAATATAAGCATATTTCAGGAGTAGGTAAATAAAAAAAATGATAAAAAAAGAACTGTTGTGTATTATAAAAAAATAAAACATTTATTTATTTATTCTAACCCAAAATTCAAAAAGAGTACAGTGTACAGTAATGATAATTGGAAATATACACACATTTTTTACAGATGTCTGTATCTAAGGCATTACAGTTTATGGAGAAAAAAGATCTTGAATGTGCTATCTGCCTCAACAGATTTCATCAACCAAAGACACTGAAATGCATGCACACCTACTGCCTGCAGTGTATCCAGAAGTGGGTGGAAACTCATGGAAAGATGAAATGTCCAATATGTGGACAGGAACATGATCTAACAAAAGAAGACCTAAAAAAGCTGTCTTCAAACACAATGATAAGTCACCTACTACACTATGTCCTAAAAACTGAGGAGCAGAAACCAACTAAATGTTCTGTTTGTGACAATGAACCAGCATACCACTGCTCAACATGCCATCTGTATCTATGTGGAGGTAATTGTATCAAACAACACAAGATAGTACCTTTAACAAGAGATCATCCACTTTACACACTGGATATGAAGGAACAAGATGGCACCACAGACAAACAAATGGGCGAACAGGATGACAGGTCAGACAAAATACCCAGATGTCCAGCTCACCACAATACATTAGAATTTTACTGCTCCACTTGCAGCAAATCAGCATGTAAGCAATGTGAACAAATCCTTCGCTGTTATCAAAAACAACACATAGTGATTCCAATGTCAACTGCTGTGGAGGACTTTAACAAAGATGTCACTGAAGTTGTTAATTTAGCTCACAGAATTAAAAGTACATTAACAGACAAACTAGAATCCATAGTTAAAATTAGGTCAGTGTTTGATTCACAATTAATGTTGTGCAAAACAGCCATTGAAATGCAGGAGAAGAATCTTACCAAGAAAGTTCAAGAGAAAAGCAAACAACTAATATCGAACCTTGAAAAGATATGCAAAAGAAAAAGAGAGGATATAGATAATATAATTAAAGATATTGATTCAAAGACAACTCAAGTAAATACTCTGATGGTCTCAATCAATAAAATGTTAAACAAACCAGAAGAAAGAGAAATTCTTGGATCCTATAAGACTACTATCAGTTCTGTCAGAGACACAGTCTTAGGACCTGATTGTGAACAGTCATTTCAAAAAAGAAATATTACACCAATTTTTATTCCATCTACAAACCTGGATGAGTTGATAGATACAGAGGGCATTGGCAATATCACAATTACTGATGACATGATGTACAATTATGCTGAAGGCAATGAATCAATTGACACAAAAGGAAAACCGTTTGTGAAAGTATCAGAGCTAGCAGAGAGGGGGGCATGTCAATTAGCGACCACATTAAGGAAAACTTCGAGTGAAACATCAGACACTAACGTAGAATATCAGGTAAGTGGAATAATAATAACAGGTAGATGCAATGTAGAAGATGAATTTTAGAATTTTGCGTGGTCCTCTGTCCATATCTATTCTGATACGGACTCTAGAATCAGAGTTCCTGTCTATTATACCCAACTGCGTCCAAAGCAAATATTTTTTTTGCATATTGTATTTTCTTGAATTATTGTTTTTAACATACAAAACTCTGATTTTGGTGTATTTCACGTAATGATCAGAAACAACGATTGTTGAGTAGGCCTATAATTATTTGCTTATAGTATGCAAAAACTCTGATTTCAGATGAACATGTTTTTTTTCATAAAATGAAGGGATCACAAAGATGATGAATTAGATGTACAGTACATTATTCCATCAGAATCATTTCATTTTTTCCCCATTTTTTATTCGACCATTTCTAAATAAACATGGAAAATGAGTAAAAGTTACTGATCCAAAAATGGTCAAGGGACGACATAGAAACTCTTATGAGTCTGTCGCTGTCGCCCCTCTTGAAAGACAGCAAATACAACATTAGCAATTAAATGAACAGAAAATCGGCCACAGATATCATATCATTTGTTTGGTTGTTAAAAACATTTAGAAATTAATGGAATGACAAACAGGATTAAAAAACGAGCACATCCAAAATGAAATGGCGACCTAGACCCAAAAAGGGCCCCATTCTTAGAAAGCAACAGGGCTCCCAGCCCCATAATTACGCCACTGGCTCTAATCACTGCTATCAATACAAGAAAAGTATCGGTTCAGGTTGGCATAGCCTGTGCTGAGCCGTTAGGCTCTTGCCCAAGGATGGATATATCATCTACCCATGCAGTGCGACGGTGCCCCACGAATGCTTCCAGTTCTCCTTCTATCGCCATTATTACTGGTGAGCTTGGTCTTCTTTAAAGTAACAGTAGCACACTTAAAAAATAATGTTAAAATGTTCAATTATTAAACCAGATTAAGTGTAAAATTTGATGACTGAAATGCATGATTATACAGCTCTAAAATTGTACAATAATTCTCATTAAAAAACTAAAAAGATTCATCTGGATCTCTAGAATGTATTTGTTAGAATTTATTTTTGATGATCCAAAAATATTTGAAATATTTGAAATATTTGAGCGAAAGCTCGAGAATAAAACATAAGTTAATGTTTTTATTCAAATATATTTGGATCATCAAAAAGAAATTCTAACAAATACTAAAAATTATTTATGTAAAACATGAACAATTGTTATGTAGATAAACTTTCTTTGTTTTGATATTTTTTTTGTTTTGGGTCCGGGGTTTTCATGGTCTTTAGCAGCTTTGGTCTCCCATTAGAATAATAAATATAATAAAAATGTGTTAATTTGGGACCACAAAGTAGTGGTCTTTAATTGGGTGGTCCTTAACTGGAGGGGTTTTTCATTGGAGGGAGACCTGCACTTTGAATTCTGTACAGAATATAAGATTGAATGACTAGGTGTGTGTTTGGCTTTTTTCCAACTACCTGCAACTGACCTATATTTGTTCGTTCAAACATCAAGGGGGAATAAATGATATTTGTGACTTGTGGTAATTTCTAGACTAAATATAATTTTAAACTGTATTACAACAAAAGTTAAATGTCATGAAAACGGGGCAGTTTCTAGAATAAATATAAATTTAAATTGTAAAACGGCCAACGATAATATTTTGAAATTGTCTGGAAAGTTTCTAGTTCTACATTACAGAATCTTTTCTTTGCATGACTTGAATATAAATATTTTCAAAATGTAATATGTTAAAGGAGTATTTTCAGTTGGTTCATTAATCGTTATATTGTGTTTGAAAGTGAAAATGTGTCCTTTTAGTGGCATCAGCCAAGAAAACTCTACTGACCTATCTACTTGCCCTATTTTGTTGCCTGTTACACTAATATATCTTTTTTAGGCTTTTGATCACAGCCATAGAGGAGATCATTATAGAAACTAAATTTCAGTTTAGCAAAGAAATGTAATTTCTTTACAGTACTTTAATTGACAGTGTGTGTATATACCATTGCAGTTACTGATTTTTCTGAATACTGTTAGGCTGTGCTATGGTTCCCATATTAATTTACATGCATTGACCTTTCAAATTAACAAACATGATGAATTATTACATAATATACAGCATGATGTAGAAGAGGCCACAAAGAAAATAGGGCAACAGCGTGGTGCAGCGAAAGAGAAGACTGATGGTGTAATTCATGAAGACGCCAATCAAGATAATTTTACCGCAGTTCTTTTGGAAAGTATTCATCCAGCAACTAAAAGAATTATTGACCCAACCAATCAGAGACATCGTTCTACTGAAAGAGTTCGTTTGCTGGTAAATCTGTTGAAGAGAGATTCTTCTCACCAAGGTATATTAATCTTGACTTAAAGTACTTTATTTTGCCTTATGGTAACATAGAAAGGTGGAAATATTTCATTTTTTATTTTAATGAGCAGCATTCATCATTGTGAGGCTTTCATAATGAAAATAGAAATTAATACTTAAAACATGAGCCATATTAGTCAATAATTAATGAAAACAATTATAATGCAGGTAGCACCTTGTTTTGACAATGGAGGTATTATTGAGAAGGAGATCACTCGGCAACAGATCCCATTGACGCGACAAACCAATGTGTTCCCCGTCTTTGGATCGTGCGCGGGCGTATTACCCTATAATTCACATTTTTTCGTTAGCAACAACTTGGCAACGACATGCGTTTATACGCTCCAGCACAGCAGTTGTGCGAAAAAGCGTTTGATTTTAACCCATTAAATATCTTTATAATAAATAATGTTACCCTGATTGGATTTTTTCGGACTTTTAGTATGTTATTATGTGTAAATTTCGGAAACAGATTCCGCAAAATATTTCTGTTAAAATTAATTCTGTGTTCATTATAGTTTTGTCTAAAGATCAATTTGTTTGACTATAAAGCTAAGGCAGTGTAAAACTGAAAATTACTCTGATTCTGGATTGAATTTTTGAATAGTTAACCCTCGTTAACCCTAAAATGACTTAGTTTATTATAATCCTCAATCATTCCTTAATTAATATCTGTTAAAATTTGGAATTATCGAGTTTTATCCAGTTTATGGAAATTCAAGTTGCAATATACCATACTTTTAAAGCTGATGTAAATGTTTCATTAAATTCGGAACTCTTTTTTTAGAAAATATTATTATGTTTGGTATTTCTTGAAAGATCAATGTATTAGCTTCAATCTTTTGGTAATCAAAGCCTGCTGTGCATTTGGTGGCGGGAACACATTAGACTTCAAAGGCATCGCGCAAACGTTCTTCACACACTGCGGCAGCTTTGTTCTTGGTTCATTTGCATAGCTCTGCGTGCGCATAGCTTTTGCGAGTGATCTCCATCTCAATAATACCTTCATGTTTTGACTAACGATTTTTATTTTTTTAAACACACAAGCATTTCGCTAGCTCAAGCTATCTGCTTCAGGTTAATATAGGAAATAAAAAATAACAATCCAGTCAAGATATGCAAGTGAGGAGGGGTGGAGTGGGGGGGGGGTCTCTGATAGGTAACAAAGGTAGTACATAATTATATTACTACCGTATTATTAAAATCTTGTACTGGAAAGCGGTGGTGCCTGAAATTTGCCGATGAGGGGTCTGACATGTCTGACAAAGGCGTCCGAACCAAAGGACCGACGAAGCCTCAGTTGACGGCCTGGAATAAAAAAAAAGGCAACTCTAGTTGAAACAAGTTTTCCCATGTTAAAATAAAGCTTATTATTTTAAAATTATTATTGTTATTATTATTATTATTATTATTATTATTATTGTTATTATTATTATTATTATTATTATTATTATTATTATTATTATTATTATGTGATATATATTTTTGGGCATATTAGTAATTGCAGATGGCTATTAATACTATTTTTTTTCTCTCTGAAGAATTTTTACGTTTGTTGAAGTGTCATATAATCAAGCTTGTGAAAGAGAAAGACAGCAGAGCACATGAGGCATCTCAATGGTTGACACGAGAGGCACTTGACATTAAAGAGGTTCAAGAAAGTGGAACATTTAGGTGAGTTTACATTACTTATCTAAATAGATATATGTTGCTATAGCAACTTTCTTTGAAGATTCAAAGCACTTCTTTTTAAGGTCATGGGGTCATTATGGTTAGGCGTTGCTGCTGTAATCAGTGTAGGAGCAGGCAACCATTCATGTATCCAATCATACTCTAGGTGGAGAGGGGGAATGAAGCTAAAGTTACTTACTCAAGGACGCTCAAGGGATTTAAATCTTGACCTCCAGGTCAAGAAACTAAACCCAAATAAACCACAGCCAACTGTTCTCACTGTGCTAAATTTCTTTTGTCATGTTGAATGTATTGGTTTTTGTGGAATGCACTGCTGTATGAGCAATACTCACAGTGCGTGGAGGTGTTTGCAGAAGTATTAGTCTATTTCGTTAATACTTACCTGTGTGAACCGACTATTTGCCATTGTTCCCAAAGCAGAACACCCCTTCGAAATGAAATAGAACAGTCCAACCCAGGGCGCCACGTACGAACCATCTCCCTAACAATCGTCCTCATTCCCTATTTGACGTTTGTTGTCGAAGGGTCTTCTATCGTTATGTCTGCGCGAAAGTGGTTATGCTCGGCAGCGGTTGCAGAAGTATTTATGTGCTGCAGATACCATTATAAGGTAGTGGAACCTACACAAGGCATTTATACAGGTCACACTAACTGATATGTGGCAAAGACAAGCCAAACCAGTCACTTGTCGCGAAAATCGATTTTGAGTTATTAATACAGTGTTAGAGAGTAAAATAATAGCTATAAAATGGTAAAAAAATCATTCAAATTGGACATTTCCTTATGAAGTTACAAGCGTTTAAACATACAGCTGTTTAAAGAATAATATATGGGAAATCATCCTTCAAAGTTTATGATTTCAGGCATTTCTCATGCAGAAACTATCATCAAATCCTTAAAAAGTGTTGTTTTAACATTGAAAATGGGGAAAATAACAGCATAGGATGATGTATAGATATGTAAAGATTAGTTTAGTACAATAAAATAGATTTTTAAAAATTTGACATTCCAGCATGTTTTGGCCATTTTCTCTGAAACACGATTTGCGACGAGTGACTGGTTTGGCTTGTCTTTGCCACATATTACTATTTTAGATTGTGAAGCTTTAGAGGAAGCACACAAAAATATTTTTATTTACTGCTGTTTAGATGAGAATAAAAATATACTGCTGACATTGTTTTATATTGTTTTTTTAAGGTTGATAATTGTTGCTGACAAGGAGGTTGTTCATGAGCGATTTCCAATCCCTCTTATCAATCGTCTTGAGAAACACTTTTTGGCCATGACAACGATGTTGAATGAGGACCAGCTGAGGGTTGTCAAACAGCTTGAGGATTGGGTGACTTTGTTTACAACTATTAAACACCAACGTCATCTTCAAGCACCAAAGTATGAACTTAAATTCTTAAGTTTAGATTTGGCCAGTTCATCCTGAATTATCTTGAAAGTAGTCTATTTTGTTTAACAAGAACACCCATTGAAAGTAATTCATAACGGTTTGTTATTGTTGCTTTTCAAAGTTGAAAAAGTTAATTAGCCACTAGTGCTAGAAAAAAAGTTGCAAAAAATTAGAGTAGATGTCAGAACCAAGGATTGGTGAGTTTTATAAAAAAAAACAAAAAAAACCATTATGATGAGTGAAAATTTCATTGAGCGGCTGCATGTTTGCCATGTGAAACTCGAAGAATGAGTGAATCGCTATTTTTAACTACTATTTTGTCATTCACGATGGTGTGTATTTCAATACTTGGAGTATGTATTATACTTTCTTGTCATTCTAATGTACTTAATTTTGTTGAATTTTTAGACAAAGCTTCAAGAAAACTGATGCATTTGTTGGATACCATGGTGACACAATTGCTGCTCTTGTCTACCAATCATGGGCATCCTGTGATGGTGAAAGTGAGGTACCTCATAAAAATTTATATTATGATGATAACATAATAGCAGCAGCAACACCGAGGCAGCAGCTGCTGCTTTTGCAGTTGATGAAGTTTCCATTAGTGGAATTTTCTCTGCCAAAGAGGTTATGTATTGATCACTGTCTGTCTGTTTGTTATCATAATTAGCAAAGAAAAACTAAAGAATGGATACCCATGAATGTTTACTTTGAACACATAGGAAGACTTGATTAAAATTATAGTGAATGCGTGAATATAACACGAGAAAAATAACCTCAATTTTAAGTAGAATACATGTTGATAAATTTGGTTACTTTGCCTTCCAATCTTATACATTGTTAGATCTAACTTACCTTAGTGTTCTGTGTCTTAAAAAGGTGTTTGAAAAAGTTAAGGACCAGTTGTTAACATGTGCCACACCAGAATCTGTCACCCTATTATCCAAAACAAATATGTCTGATGAAGAGAGAGAATCACTGACAAATACTTACTTCAGGGTACAGAAGCATGGATGTCTTGCAGAATACCTAGCTGACAAAATTCAGAAGAATTATAAAGAAGAGGCTACAGGGATCCTAGCCCAGGTATGACTAGTGGGGTTAATCACATCTTCATGCAAGAATACCTTTCACCTTTTTTCTCAGAGGGAAAAAAAGAAAAGCATTAAAACATATACTAAAGATTTTTAAAAAAACTTAGCAACTCCATTGATTTTAAAAAGGATAAAGGAGACAGAAATGATAACACATATGTGAACAGTGATAAATACATTTAGCATTGTGTAGAGTATATAGTACTCCAGAAGTTACGCACAGCACCGAAAGATAACAATGATCTTGTAAAGACTAATGTGATAAATGAATGAATTGGATTGAATTGAGTTTGCTTGATGGCATCCAGATTTTCTTCTTGCAGTCTTTGTCATTAGTACAATTTCGATTTTGCTTTTGTTTGTCTTTACAAAAATTGATTGTAATATCTAAACTTTTCATAATTTTAAATAACCATATTTTTTTAACCAAAAATCTAAATTCATTCTTTAGGTAACAACATATTCACGTCTGCTAATAGAAGAAGACTCGGAGGCACTTGCAGAATCTACTAGGATAGATAATTCTCACATCAACATGATCTCTCTACAGGAATTTCAACATGAGCAACAATTTTCTCATGAAGTACAGTAAGTACAGTACTGACTATAACTGTTTAATTTTCAATTTTATACAAAGAAGTATACATGTCTAACTGGAGTAATAAAGATTATTGTAATCATATATTACATACTACTTATACAGAGGTTGTGGAACGAATGGCAACAAAATCAGTAAAAATTAGGTCATAATTAAAAAAAACAGTTATATGCAGTAATCAAAGACCCGGAATGAGAACAGATAATCATAGTTTTTCAATCAGTTTGGTGACAATTTACTCACTGTTGAATGAAAATATTATAAAATATATTAAATGACTTACTTGTTATTATTTACACAGGAAATTCTTTGATGAAAATCGTGCAAGTGAGCGACTACTGCTGGTTCAGTGTAACGCTAGCAGTGACACCTCACACCTTATATCCTGTGCCTCTTATCGAGTTCAAGATGAAAGAGAAAATGCATTGTCTGCTATGCAAGAAAGAATCAAGGAGTCAAAGCAAGACTATCCAATTGAAAGCAGAGCTCATGTTGTATTCATTATTCTGCTTCCTCGTGTTAACAGATGTTTCGATGGATTTCAAGGTACAGTATTTTATTGATTTAAAAATGTGTTTTTATAATAGTTTTTTGTATCAAAATTCATTTATAGATATTATCAAAAAAATACCAGGGGTTCCCCTGCTTAACAGCCTTGAGTGGACCAGTGTTGTTGAGATACTTGCTTTCTCATCGTAAAGGTTAAAAAACTACAGATCTAAAAAAATGTTTCTCAACAAATAGCAAATCCAATTCCAGAACCTCATAATGAGAATTATAGAATCGCTTTTATTCTGTAACGTTGCCAGCCACTTTACATCCACTAAAAGAGGAATTTTGTTGCTTTTGCCATTTCAAATTTCAAGATGATGTTTTGTTCTCTAAAATACAAAGAAATTCTTGCAACTAGAAATAACAATAAATCTACAGTATACATAAGGGTTTAATTAGGCTATGTACAATAATTACAAATTACTATCTAGTTTGTCTTTTGCGTTTCTGAATTCTGCATCACTCATCATGAGTCTCTCCTCTTTCAAGGTGGACTATGGGCTTCAGCACACATTGATGACCTTCAACCTCCGAAAGAGAACCGACCAGATGTATATGAGCTGATGGGTCGAATGATGAGTGATTTGTTTACGGTCTCGAAGAAAGGTAACCAAGAAGATATTCCAGTGTTTGTTACATGTACTGTTCTTCCATGGTGCCCAGTAGGACTTCACCTAAGCTTGACATTTAATGATATATAATTCCTAGGTTAAAACTTTGTAAAGTCTATAAGAAAAAAAATTGTTACACTCCTGGAGGGTTTTACAAATTTCATTTTTCTCTTACACTGATGTACAAGTAAAAAAACCTGACATAAATACATCAGACCAACAAATTTCTGATTTCAGAACTCAGTAAATCAGACGATGAAGACAAAATGGAACGTGATTCTCATGATGAAGGAAGCATGGAACAATATTTTGATGATGAAGGAGGCATAGAAGGTGATTCTGATGATGAAAGTAAGAGTATGGAGGATAATTATGAAGATGCAGAAAGCATAGAGCATGATTCTGATGATCAAGATTCCACAGAAGACATGGACCAAGAAGATGTATGCAAAGAACATGTTGCAGTGAAGATGGAGAGCATTGAAGATAACACTGTAGTTGATTTCACAGCAGTTCTCTTGGACAGTATTCATCCAGCAACTGCAAGAATTAGTGACCCAACCAATCAGAGACATCGTTCAACTGAGAGGGTTCGTCTACTGGTAAATCTGTTGAAGAGAGATTCTCCTCACCGAGGTATATCTTATTACTTGAATTTGGTTGTATTTTGTCCTATGGCATCAAAGGGAAAAATGGATATCTTATTTGTAGACTTGATCGGCACTACTTATCATGGTGGTGCTTTTATAGCAAAGGAGAATAATAATTATTATTATTATGTGATATATATATTGTTGGGCATATTAGTAATTGCAGAATAATACTATTTTTTTCTCTCTGAAGAATTTTTACGTTTGTTGAAGCGTCCTATAATCAAGCTTGTGAAAGAGAAAGAGAGCAGAGCACATGAGGCATCTCAATGGTTGACACGAGAGGCACTTGACATTAAAGAGGTTCAAGAAAGTGGAACATTTAGGTGAGTTTACATTACTTATCTAAATAGATATATGTTGCTATAGCAACTTTCTTTGAAGATTCAAAGCACTTCTTTTTAAGGTCATGGGGTCCATATGGTTAGGTGTTGCTGCTGTAATCAGTGTAGGAGCAGGCAACCATTCATGTATCCATTCATACTCTAGGTGGAGAGGGGGAATGAAGATAAAGTTACTTACTCAAGGACGCTCAAGGGATTTAAATCTTGACCTCCAGGTCGAGAAACTAAACCCAAACAAACCACAGCCAACTGTTCTCACTGTGCTAACTTTATTTTGTAATGTTGAATGTATTGGTTTGTGTGGAATGCACTGCTGTATGAGCAATACTCACAGTGCGTGGAGGAGGTTGCAGAAGTATTAGTCTATATCGTGAATACTTACCTGGGTGAACCGACTAATTGCCATTGTTCCCAAAACAGAACACCCCTTCTTAATAAAATTGAACAGTCCCACCCAGGCCGCCACGTACAACCCGTCTCCCTAACAATTGTCCTCATTCCCTATTCGACGTTTGTTGTCGAAGGGTCTTCTATCGTTATGTCTGCGCGCAAGTGGTTGTGCTCGACTTGTGGGGGCCCAAACTTGATTGTGTTGCTATTGCAGCAAAGCAGAGCCTTGCAAGGTTTGCGCACGGTGGCCCCCTACTAAGTTTGTGGCAGCGGTTGCAGAAGTATTATTTTTAAGTATTTATTTTTATGAAAATAACATCTTTTTATTTACACAGACAAGCCTGTTGGCAACGCTTAACAGCAACTGTAGCCCCATTCCTGGCTGAAGTGATCGCCACCTGTGACATCAGCAACAATCTTAGTCTCCTTAATAGGCAAGAAGCTGACAACGCTTGGCTGCACAAACTTTGGCTGAGCATCTTTTCATCTGTAGATCTGATTAACATCAATTATGACATGTGTTTGTCTCCTGTGGAGAAAGTCCAAAGGTCTGAGGTGCAGCTTCAACAGAAAGGATATGGTGGCAAGTCATTCAAGGCTCTCTTTCCATTCTCATGGATTATAAAGGCAAAATTGGATGATATTTGGAAATTTGCCTCAGAAGCCAAAGGTTAGCCGGATTTTATGAAATATATAGTTTTAATACCGCTGGTGTTTTATTGTCATTTTAATAGTTATGTGAAAACGAGGAATATTTCTTCCCCCAAGTCAGTCATTTTATATAAGCATTATTCAAATCAGCAATTTGCACAGAAACTTTAATATTCAATGATAAATATTTTTTACTTATGAATTTGTAATGTTTTTTTCTTTTGGAAGTTGAAGCAGAGGCAACGCCAGATCAGCAGTTTTTGAAGAATGTTCAGGAATCTGAAGTTGGAAGGAAACTCCAGACAGCCATCACTATTGGTGGAGTTCAGAAGGTTGTCCAACTCTACTGTTCAGATTTCGTCAGGATGACTTGCAAGATCTCCCAAGAAGATCAGCACAAGGTAGATAAATTATTTATTGACCAGCGGAGGGTCTTCTCTCCAAAAATAGTTGATCTGGAACCCTATGATATCCTTGATAGAGTATATATTTAAACAAATCTAATATTTTTGTTGTTTCAACAGTTGATCTGTGACCATATAATAAATGCATCTTATTCAATTGTACGAGAGCTGGGAGGTCAAGTTGACAGTGTGAACTCTGTTGCTGCTATACATTTAGCATTCAACAGATTTCAAGCAAGGTTTGAACATCTCTCACAACTTGGTAGTATCTGCCAAAATGTCTTGAATAAAAAACCAAAACCAGATGAAGGAGGATTAGATACAAAAGAAATGGTAAGACCAGTAACCAATGTGTTATTTCTATATTGAACTGGAATTTTTTTGAAGATGTAGGTAACTAATTGCTTGTTTCTTTTGTTAAACATTGTAAAGACTGTTGATGTCACAAGTCTCAGATATATACTGGGAGAAAGTGATGGCAATGAGGGAAAAGATTTCAGGTCACAAGAAGGACAAAGAAACTGGCTGCACAAGATCAACACACTGTGTCCTGTAGTCCAAAGTATGATAGCATTGTATAAGAAAAAAAAAGACATTTTTGGACCAAACAGCCAGAGAATCCTAGAGGAGTGCAGGTAACAATAATCTCTTGTACCCAAAAACTGAAAGGTTCACTGATTAAATCTCAGATAAGAAAATATAATACATACACCAAGTATTGAAAGGCACGCAATCGTGTTTTAACTTTAATTATGTCAGGAATTATACCCAATTCACCAAGTCTGAGTCTCACGGATGTCGAGTTGGTTTCCATGATTTTCTTTTTTAAATTTAATAGTTTTCTTTATGATTTTTTTTTTTTTCATGTATTTTTTATTTCATAAATTTTTTATAATTTCAATATCAATTCTCATTTGGCAATGAGAAAATAAAACCCTGTGTTCTGTTTTACAAACACATATTGTTAGTATATTTTTTTCTGTGTTGTTTTACTGTTATATATTTATGATCTGAAATGACCTGTAATAATATCAATGACAATTATCATGAATTGCCAATCTCTCTAGATGTTTGTGGTCGAGGATTACTGTGATGAAGCTGTTCTTTGAGCATGTCTGCTTGCAAAATGAAGAATTTGCTGATATTGTTTCACCTAAATGCAGGCTCCTCTGGCTGGTATGTACTTTGAACTTCAACATATACAGGCCTGCTTGTATAAAACTGATATTCCTTCTATAAAGATTTCATGGAAACGGTCTTGCTTCCTTGTGTATTATTTTTCACTCATTCAATCACATTTACAAAGTTAAATACAGTATTATATATAAGATTAACATCATATTCTTATTCTGAAAATGTTAAGTTATCTTGGCTAGGCCAGTACGTCATGCTCCACATCACACTTCACACAGCCAGACAGAGTAGGCCTTGTACCAGTGGTGGTCTATTTTCCTAGCTAAGCCTACGCCTACCATAAATAGAAACATCACAGCATTGTATTTCTTCTACAATACGAATACTGTATTTCCCATTAGTTGATAATTCACTATTACACCTTTTTACGAATATTGGCCTATCATGCCGCTCATGTAGCTGGCAACCTGGAGTAGCTTAAAATCTCTATGAGTAGAGGCCTATAGGCTGATAATGTAGCTAGCCTAAAAATTGGGACGGTAGAAGATTGCTAATAATATTGGGAATACCTCACCCAAAATGGGGAGTTCTAGCTATAATATAGGCTTAAAGAACCTAATGATAGGTTTCTGCATCATGTTAAAAAAACGACTGGAAATCGTAAAATCGCGAAAATAAAAGGATGCAAAATATCTCAAGTTGCAAATTCACTAAAATATAAGGCCGTGAAAAAAAGGGCTGTACCAGTGCTTCATAAATCAATATTTTACTGTGTCCAAAATAAAGATTATAATCTCTAATATTATTTTAAAATGTCTAGTATAAATATATTAGTATAATTATGGATTTATATTTCTAGACACTGAAAAAAACAGCTGACTTGAAGTTGAATACCTCTATCACGGGCTTAGTGAAAATCCTGAATGAAGTCAATAAGAAAGCTGGGAAAAAGTACTACAAGTAGGTATAAAGTTCTTTGAAATTTTTAGAAAGCAGAGAAGGTTGAATGGACATGATAACTATTATGAAAATATTTGAGTGAATTTGATGACTTTCTTGATGTTATGAACTTGCTTCCAGGAAAGCCTTTTATCTTGGGCGATCTTAATTTGCAGTTTTGACAACCCAACTTTAGTC